GGTAACATAGTGCATATGGGATTGCAACAGTGTCAGAAAGTCATGGAAAGTGATAGAGTCAAACCAAACACTATATCCCTTCTGAGTGAACGGACCAGCTGGTGCCCCAGCTGGTCAGCTGCTTCAGGACCGCGCTTCTCTAATGCTGATGCTCAGCTCCGAACTCGCAGCTTGGAAGATTGAGGATCCAACTGGATGTCCAACTGAGAAAAGAGACCTTGAATAAGCAGGGACCCACCTGAAGGGTTTCACATTGTCCATACAACTTGCTTCGTGTTTCATGCAATTTTTGTGGGATGACCAGCGACAATTCAACATTGGATCTAGCATGTTGCTGCTAATTGTTAATGTTTCTTCCAAAGAAGTCTACCTGAGCTTGGGCGTTTCGGCCAAATGTTTGGAATCTGGTGATGAGGCTTCGATAGGCTTCCCATTCCACCCAACTTTCGTTTGATCCCAGGGAAACTTGGATGGCGGACTGGCTCCAGACCCAAGGATGCCTTCCAGCAGCAGGGCTTTCAGACCTCATTCTGGACCTGGACAACGCCCAATGCGAAGGAGTTCCAGCCGCTTGGGAGTCGGAAGCCTCCGACGTCGAGGCGTTGGCCAGGTGTTGGATAGCCGTGTTCGGGGTCTCAAGAAGGGGCATGAAAGGTGGTCGGAAGCATGCATGCAGTTTCCATGGAAACTCCAAAACCGAAGTCGATCCTTTTCTCTGTAGGAGGCTCCGGATTTCTTAGAAGAAAGAAATAGATCAACACACCACTAGGAACAAGAAGCTACTAGGAGCAAAGGGCATCGCTACTAATTAGTAGCGATCGGACGCTACGAACGGGGCTGGCCTTAAGACCCTAGATGGCGGTCTCAAGGGTGGGGACCTTGGCTCGACCTGAGGGCTGGTTGGAGCTTGAAGTGGCTTATGGGCCTCGAAGAGGCGAGTGCAAGCGAGGTCGATCGTTGGGGATTAGTTTGGTTTAATTTGGATTATATTATAGCAATGTGTAGCAAACCTTATCGATTCATGGTATACAACTAATTTTATATTATAGTTACAATGTTCATTCTATGATGTTCCTCTCTTTCTTAAAGAGAAACCAAGAAGCTACAGGGGGCGTGTTCAGGAACCCCTGCGCAGTTGTCATTCAGGTGGTGCAGGGAACATTGATTCGTGACATGTTTGAGCAGTTTGTTTCTCCTATGACCAGACTCTCCTCATTTTCCCAAAGGTAGAAGCTGTTCCGTGACAGGCTCTGAGGTTGCATTCAAGGCTACTGTTGATGGACAAAATCCTGCACCACCTCACCACTTTACCCTGGAAGGGTCGCATAGCAACCGCCGTGCCCCCTCATTCAATGTTGGCGCGACCCCTCTGAGGAGGTGGTGCAGGATTTTGGACCTTCAACTTGTTTTTGATTTCTCCCCCAATGTTAACGAGGGAGAACGAGGGCAGCAAGAAAAGTGTGCGCAAAGTGGTGCAGGATTTTGTCCATCAACAGTATGTCACTGTCTTATGTTGTGGTGGGTGAGGTGAAGCATAGCTATGCACCAACATCTCTCCCTGACATGGGATTCAAAACCAAGGTTGGTTGGGTAAACGGGATGTTAAATTCCGCCCTATGATAGGCCCACGATGTTCTGTAAGGGCCAAAAAGGTTTGATGGGCGTGCTGCCATGCTGCACTGCACTCTGAAATGTTTGTGTCCAGATTCTGGCTGAGTACGGAATGAGGAGATGGGCTTGCTTACATATTTGTGTGAAGGTGAGACTAAACATGTCCTCTACCAGCTGCTTAACGCTGGTCACGATAGGTGAGTTTGGACAAGTGCAACCTCCAACATCCTCAAACACTGAATTCCCAGAAACCATTGGAGACCCGTGACGTCACAAGCACCTGTGACATCACATGTTGCAGGTTGGCCAATGCGGTGCAGCGTGACTCGGGTGTTCTGGTGTGTTTTTTCCGTCGATTTTCAAGAGCTTCAGCTCGCCATGCTGTGTAGTGAAAACGATCAAAAAGGATAGGATGTGCAGCACACCACATGCAGAACCGCTGACACGCACGCACACACACAGGGTTACTTCACAAAAGAACGACGAAGCAGGGTGAGGAGAAGCATCAAACTGTCAGTTGTCAGGATTTTGGTTTGGGCTTGAACCATGGAGAGTTGCGCTGATAGGGCTAACGAAAGTTCTTTTTGTGCAGGAATAAAATTGTGATGATGTGAGGAATTCCAAGGTTGCCATCAGCTTGTTTTATATAGGATGTTTAGGACCCAGTCAGTGCACTTCTTCAATTTTCTTCATGGCCTACATGGCCACTGGGCCTCCGATCTGTGGTCGATGAAGCACATAGCATTTTGTGATAATTTGTGGAAAGGAATATGTACTTACACAATGCGAGTCCCTGAGCCCCCTGATCCTTTCATCTGAGTCCTCATGAATCGCTGATTGATCAAGACAATTATTGAGAGAGTGTCTTTTTTTGCAGACCTCTGAAAAAATTGCATATCAACTAAATGGATCTAAGTGATATGAAACATGTTTATGGTGTATCCTTGGTCCTTGGTTGATAAGTGGTGATCAAGGATCCAGGGACCAAGGGGTTGACCCAACTTTGCCAAGCCCTTCAGGTTTAAAGGCAACCCTTTCAAACCCCGTACTTGGTGACTTGGTGTTAGAGGATGCCAATCTTGCAATGTTTCTGACCGCATTCTCAGGGGGTCCAGCCTGGCTGCGGCCAACAGGGTCTTTCCCGTGCGGAGACCAAGCCTCAAAAAGATTCTTGTGCGTTTTGTGGTTGAGTGTTGCTTGATTCAAAGATATGCAAAGTCCTTCTTTGCTGGTTCAGCATGGGCAGCGCCCTACTAGGTTGATGTTGCTTTATGTTGGGCACGCTAAAAGCGATCCCTATCAATCTGCTTATTAGCATGGCCGGTCAGTGGCACCTGCAGGAACGGTTTGTGAAGTTCAAAAAGTGATCCGTTCCATGGCCACAGGCCAAGCCGTTGCTATTATGTTTAGCACCACGTGAGGCGTCCTCACAACTCTCATTTTCCGGGTGTCCTCACAGACGTAGGTGTATAGTTAGGCCAAAGTGCTGCTGCTGCCGCATACTACCCGCAGTGTAGGCTAGTCAGCTAGTCTTCTTCCGGGAAGACATAAAGCACTTTCAATGGGCATGTGAGCACTGTCAAAGACTTCTTACAAAAGATCAGTGCCAACTCCAGCTTGCCGTTGGAAAACCGAAACTGCCTTCAGGGAAGCTTCCAAAAGTTAAAAGCCCACGGCCGAAGTATATATCGTTGCCAGCCCCCACCCTATAAAAGCTCGCGGATTTGAATATGTCATTCTTGCATGATCTTGCATGCAACTGCAATTGAGCAGTTTTTCCCAACTTTAGCATTTAGTTTCTAGAATTGGATGCAAGTGTCCATGTGAGGTTTTTGATTGCGTTCTGTGGTTCTTCCTCATTTCCATGCAGTATTAGCTTTGCGACAGTACAGAGATGTTGTTATTCTACTGCACGGCTTGGTTTTAGTGAGACGGAAGCTGATCACCTTTCATGTTTGTTCTGTGGCTCTTCTTTTCAGGGAATAGTGTGGGGTGTTGCTTGTCACGCATGTCACAGTGATTGCTTGTCACTTGTCATTTATTTGTTTCATCCCGCACCGGTTGTTACCTCTGTGTCCCTAACTCCTTTGATATGTTGCAACCGGTAAGTGAGAAGATTAGGCTTCTGACCCGATGTGTCTGAGTGGTGTAACAGAGTTTTGAGATCTCTCTTTTTATTAGGTACTGTAATTCGGTTTATGCAACTCGGAATCATGAACCCTTTCCCTTTTCGTACCGAACAACATCGAACGAGAAGCGGGAGATGAGCTGTGCAGCATGTGCATGTCGCCCTGCGACGGCTGGTTGTTAGCCCGTCCCCCGTTGGGCGGCGGAGTCCCGTGTTTGCACTGTCACTCCGTGGTCCGTGCGGGCGGCGTTCAGAAAGGTCCCTTTAAAAAGGCGGCGTTTCAGTCGGGGTGGGGGCGGTTGGGGGCGTACTCGGCTTGCCCGACTCCAAATCGGTTGGAGTCAGTTGGATGACTGGAATGGCTGGTTCGTTTGTACGGACCTGCTGATCGGAGGGCACTCGGGTTTGTTTGAGCCAACGAAGACCTGAAGGATTTGACCTAAATGCATGCTTCGTTGCAGGGTAATCATTGGCAATCATATATAATCATCCTCCAAATAGAGATCGTCATCCAGAGGGGTTTGATGTAAGAACGGTTGATGTGGCTTGATGTTTGCAATTACGCAATCAGATGCGGTTCGCAGTTCCTTGGCTGTAGCGAATGGCTTTTCACTTCTTTTCCGACCGAACTCCTGTCGAAGGAGTCTGAAGACTCACAATGAGATGTTGATTTCATGGCTGGCTTTGACGATTATTTTTGTTGATTCAAAGCTTTGACTTGACATGTCAATCCTCATCAATTCCATGCGCAAGGTGTCCCAACTCATTCAATATAGACTGTGCAGCGGAGCTTTCGTGTCTCTCTGGAAGATCACGAGGTTTGCTATGAAATCTCTCTTGCAAATCACAAAGAGTTGCTCAGTAGCCATTCACCGGCTCTTGGCAACGAAGCTGTGCACTTGGAAATACAAGCATGACGTTTCCGAATGATGCTTCGCATTGGTTGTTCCCCCATCCACCAATAGCCCAACGCCCAAAACCAAAATCAAAAAAAAAGACAAGTGAAGACTCGCCAAGTGCAGCGGGTTGGCCTGTGCGACTTGCATCTCCCAGCCTGGGTCAGAGGACCAAACACATCCCCTCAGGTGGTGTTTTTGTTTGTTGGGGGGTCCCCTTCATTCCTTTGACTGACATGCACATGTGACTACCACTGGGTGAGTCATGTCAGTGCTTCAAACCAAATAACATCAGCCTTCACCTCTCAAAACGTCCACCCAAAAATGAACCAAACATCACCAACTCAGCCTCAAACTGGGCCAAACCGATTTCCCCAACGGCCAAACCTCTTTCGTCACCGTCACCGGCGCTCCCTGGCCGCCATGGCGCGCAGCGAACGATCCCGGCGCGACCGCAGCCGGTCGCGTGACCGAGGCTCTTTGGGGGGAGGCAGGTGGAAAGTCATCCGTTGCCTACCAGAAGGACCCCAACAAAACACAGAGAAAGAGAGAAAGGAAATATAAACACACGTTTTGAGTTGGTTGCGGTTGGTGTTGTTGTTGTTGTTGGTGGTGGTGGTGGTGGTGGTGGTCTTTTTAATTTTATTACATACATTATACCTCGTTATACCTTCTCTCATGTTCTTTGTTGGAAGATCATGCTGGACTTGGTGAGGTGACACCTGCAAAAGAACACCTACTCAGTGAAGGAAGGTATAGTCTGAACCTGCACGGCCACTTTTAATGACGATGCTTGTCTTCAGGGTGCCCTTAGAGTGACGACACCTTCAACCCACTGGGTGTTCTAGCATAGCAGCATAAACTACCTCTGAGAAGTTGGAGTGGTCATTCAGCAACAACAACAACAACAACAACCAGGTACGAACAAAAACTGCAGCCCCGTTACAACATATTCTCTACAAGGGGGTGGAAACAAAATCTGCAGCCCCATCGTTGCTTTTTTGGCCCCCCCCGAAAACAACCAGCCAACACGTACTTTTACCAGTAATGGTAGTGCTTGTACTAGTGCTAGTACTAGTGGTACTGGTACTAGTAGTAGTCGTTGTTGTAGTAGTCGTAGGTGGAGTAGTAGTAGTAGTAGCAGCAGCAGGAGTAGTAGTAGTAGTAGTACTAGTAGTAGTAACCGGTCAGCTAAGCCTCTGTAAAACTTCTACAAAGAACCTCGACCACATCCTAGAAACAAACAACTGCAGCCCAGCCCCGTTGTTGTTTTTTGGAGCACCCCCTCAAAAGGTGTTGTTGTCTCTACCCCCTCCTAGAGACAAAGACTGCAGCCCCGTTGTTTCTTTTTGGACCCCCCCCCTGAACAACACATCAAAAACATTAAAAACGGACCAGCCCAGACTTCAGTTAAACAAGTCCAACAAGTCCACCTACTTACGAAACCAACAGTCGCTCAAACCTTCAACCGTATCCCTAACCTTGTCCCCCTTAAGTTCCAAAGTGGCAACATGTGACAATGATGTTGGACGGCTGTTTTTGTTTCTACCAACAACAACAACAACAAAGCATCGAGGCAACAACAAAGCTCCTATGAAGGTGGCTGCAAAAGAAGAAAGGGATGAGATCATGACCAATGCACTGCAGCTAAATCCACACCGCTCGCCGTGGGCCCGGCAGTCCCCCAAACCCCTTGAAGTCATTGCCATTGTCCCTGAAGTTGTTCTTTTATGTATGTCAATGAGGTGTTAGAGACATGTTTATGTCTTGAGATAATGTTAAAGTTGTTTGCTTTATGTCTTGAAGTAATTGTATTTGATACCCTTCATGTAACGTCAAAGACATGTGGGACTTTGTTCCCTCTCTCTCTCTCTTTACATGAAGCTTCTTTATTTGTGTCTTCTCGAACTTCTCGCCGTTGGAAAGAGGTTGAAGACCACCCCAATTGCCGGAGCGTTTGGTGTTCATTGAACACCAGCACGATGCATCATGTTTTCATCATGCCACAGCGGGAACTTGGCCAGTGTGTATTGATTCAGGATTTGCCAGGAAAGAGGACAGGTACCAGTCACCAAAGCGTGCATGTGACGGGGGCAATCTCCTAGCAGTGTCATGATCCTCACTGATCCTTCATGTCTTCGAAACCTTTGCACTTTTAGTATGGGTTCTACGCTCGCACGTGAACAGGAAAGCGGCAAGAGGAGCGAGCAAAGCAAAGGTGGGACCGGCTCAAGAGTGTGGAGTCATTGCCAGCCAGCCATGTGGATAGGCCAAACAAATAGTTCAGAAGTCACGAGTCTGGTTAGGTACTATGTTAGGTTGTGCTTCTGAGAGGACGATCATTTGGGCAGTTTGCTTGATCTTGCTTGTTTGATAGGGATAAGTTCTGTTTCTTTCTGGTGTTGCCATGTTGCTTGTTTCTTTCAGACGCGAACTTCAGACCTTGAGAATTTGCTTTGCTGCGCAGGTGTGCCACACCACGCATGTAAGTAGCGGGATTGGTCCCGGCAGGTGTAGCAGCAGCAGTCCAGAGAAAGTGATCCCAAAGGACTTTGGGCAGGGGAGATGGGGAGGGACAGAACCACCAGATACTTTTCAGGGCTGCATAGTGGCTATGAGAATAAAGCAAGCTTGAATGGACTGTTTTTTTTCAGGGAATTGGAGATGTGTTTGCCTTGTGAAGTTTCAAACCCATACCCAACAGATCAATCAAGTGAGGTGTTTGAATTATAGTCAGCCACCAGGCCTGTTTTTGACCTGAGTTATGTCATGTGATTACCTTTCTTGAATCAAGCTGCTCTTTGTCCTTTGTCACACTAATATGTTTTAGTTTACAGTACATGAATGATGAATCTCCATTTGCTTGGGTTTTATAAAAGAAATCAAGATTCAACTTAGCAACGTGGCCCCAAGTGGTTAAAAGTACATACATGTATACATATCACGAAAGCTAGCGAAGCTAGCTGGAGTTACTCTTGCGATAGCAAGGTTTCTTTCGACCGGGTGCAAATCCTAACCCCTGATTTTTCAGGTCGAAGACCCCCCCCCTACCCC